GTGCAATGTTGGTGGGACTGTAAATTAGTAAAACCACTATGGAAAATAGTATAGAGATTTCTCAAACAACCAGATAGGTCTTCCATACAATCCAGCAATCCCACTTCTGGGTATATACCCAGAGGATGGAAATCATCATGTCGAAGGGATACCTACACTCCCATGTTCATCGCAGAGCTGTTTACAATAGCCAAGATATGGAACCAACCTAAATGTCCATCAGGGGATGACTGGATAAAGAAACTGTGGTATATATACACCATGGAATACTACTCTGCCATAAAAAAGAATAAAATATTCCCATTTGCAACAACATGGATGAACCTGGAGAAAGTTATGTTGAGTGAAATAAAGCACAGAGGGATAAATACCACATGTGCTCATTCATATGTGGGAGCTAAGAGAGAAAGAAGGAAGGAAAGAAAGACCACAGTACTGCCGTGATCCAACAGAGGGAGGGAACATTCCTAGGGCTACAAAGCAGAGTTGGGGGAGCGAGGGGAAGGGAGGTTGGGGGATAACTGGTTGGGGATAATTGTAAAAAAGCAATTTCTGGTAATTTGTATCTCATGAATATTCATAATATAAATAAATAAAAATTTACCAGGATGAGAATGAAGTCCATTTCAGATCAATTAACTCTACACTGGAGGAACAGTCACCTAACATCCCACCACTGAGACGACCGATAGCACTTACTATGAAGAGCTGACATGGAGCATGCAGACTTCTGATGACGGTGTCCATGCTGGACAGTGGTAAGTGGGCAAATTGTGTGGAGTGCTAAGTTGAGTGCACTTATTGGAAACAACCCTAGTACAATGGTACATACCATCTTCCTCAACTCCTGGTTGGAAACAATAATGACATTTGGCGGGTCCCCGATGGCAGTGGCAGCTCCTCCAATGTTTGTGAAGATCACTTCTGCAATCAGGACTTGTCTCGGATCCAGGTTGAGCACCTCACATAGTCTGTCACAAATGAAAATGAAAAGTAATCCCCTGTCCACATCAGGAAAAGCCCATGTGCAACCCAAATATTTCTAAAGCACTTGCGTGCACAAGGGAGGCACACACACACGCACGCACACCTGTGAGAAGGGCAAGCTAGGGGGATGAAAACTGTTACTTCATCCTTGGGCTACAGCTGATGCTGAGAGTCACATTTCTTCCAAATTCTGACCCACCCCCCTCTGAACCATCAGTGTGATAGTGCACCACTCCCCACCCCCTGCAGGCCTGGAGAAGTGCAGTTCCGTGGGCATGGGCCCTGGTGGAGGGCAGGCCCTGGTGCAGCGAATGGACCCTCAAGTCATTGACCAGGCCCTCAAGTCAGGGTGTGGGCAGCACAGAAGCAGCAGCAGCTCACACCGAGCCCGCTGCATCCCTATCCCCCTCCTCTTAACGCCCAGGCCCCAAACTCTCCCTGCACCCCTCTTCTTTAAGTACTAACTGTTCCCTTCTTCCAAAGAAGGAGCACATGATACAGCATGGCTCTCCACCCTGGCTGCACCCTAGATACGTCTTGGGATCTGTGACAGTCCTGCAGCCTGGCCCACAGCAGACCAATCCTGGGGAGCGGTCCTGGGCAGCAGCATTCTGCAGCTCCCCAGGTGGGTCCGGTGCACACTCTGTTGAGAAATGTTGCTCTAGAAGAAGTGCAGAAAGCACATCACAGCATCCCCCACCCTGCCCACCCCACACAGAGAGGCCAGGCCTTTGTGAGGCCCTGCTGCTCCCGGGGACCTCCCTCATGGCCCTGCCTCAGCTCTGAGCCTGACCAGCCGCACAGCCTACTTCTGGGCTGGGGTGAGGAGCCAGCAGCCCATGGAGCTGTGTGGAAGTCTGGGGACAAAGGTCAGGGGTAACTCCACAGATGAGCCTCAGACCCCAATCGGCAGCAGCACTCAGTTGAGGAAGCTCCCAGGATCTGCTCAAGCCAGAAAATAATTCATACGCACCATCAACTTTGCCAGACATAGCACAGAGACACATCCAAACTAAATGGGCCTAGCTGTGTAACTACAGGGATTAACACTACTCAGTCCAGACAAAGGCATAGGAACGAAGTTATGGTCAGATAAACAGTGACTCAGAACACTAGCACATGAATCTTGAAAGGTGTAATTTTTCGACTGATAAATGGAATTGCTGCTCTAACAAAACTGCAAAGCCAGTCCTGAGCAGTGAGGATATAAACAAAGCCCAGCAGGGCTAAGACAATCCTTGGGTCTCCGGGCTGTCGGGGATGCTGGAAACAGAGTGCCCCAGCACCTCAGCCCTGGAATCCCACTCCACCAGGGCTGCCATGGGAGAGAGGGGTGGCACACAGGGATCAGGGGTGTAGTGTTCAAACCAGGGTCAGCAGCAGAGTTGTGCTAGAGCCTGTGGAGGATGGAATTAAAAGAAATGGAATTGAACTGAATTTTTCTTTCCCAAAGTTACCCTGCAAAGCCTTGCTAGGCTGAGCCCAGGAGGTCCTGTGACCTTGCAGGTCTCTGACAAGCAACCAGACGATGGCTGTTCATCCCCCATTCCCAGCTGTGTCCTCACAAGCCCCCAGATGGGCAGGAGCTGTCACACAGGCACATGTGTGGCCTGCAAGCCAGCCGGGGGAAGGTGGTGACGGAGGAGCACAAGATCTACTGGCACTGATAGCCAGGGATGAAGGGTCTCGTCTACCTGTCCCCTGTTTAGGTGTGACCTCCAGGAAAGCAGCGCCTGTCTCCCGACTCCCCGCAGGCATTCATGCCACCCTGCTTTTGCAGTACCACTGCTTGCAGGGGCCCCACAGTCACACACAGCAAATGCTGCTGGACTGGAACACAGTGACGGGAGGGCACCATCACCTGCCTTTCACGGATGTGGAAATGGAGCCTTGAGCCAGGCTGTGCCGCCAGAACACATGCCTGCCCTGAGCCAGCTGTGATGCCCACGGCAAAGCACACTGCATACCTTATGGTTACTGGAGTGAAGAGAAGCATTGTGGTGACATTGTCCAGGAAGGCAGACAGGATGGCAGCAATGAGACACAGCATGATGATCATGGCCCACACTCTTCCCCGGGACAGGCGGTATGCCTGGATGTACACACGCAGGAAGGAACAAGCCAGAGTCAGTGGGTTCCTAGAACACGTGCTCCTTTTCATGAGTGGCTCTAAGGAACAGGGATCCAAATGCAGCCCACACTGGATGGTGGGTCAGGACTTAGACCCATGGGACCATATGACTGCTAAGACAGGACAGCGATGGCAGTCCTGGCACCACGGCTCCTCGCCTTCTTCATAGTGCCCCCGTGATGGTTAATTTGTCACAAGGTTATAACCTTCAAAACCTTTAATGTCATCTACTGTTTTGGTTAGACAGCCTGGGCTGCAACACTTGGGATCCATGTGACCCTAGTGTCTGTTGACCTTTGGGGACCTGTGGGATACTTTTAGTACCAAGGTATTGGGAGGAAGAGGCCAGATGTCTCTCTGGAATGTAAGATGGTACATGAACATGACAAAAATAACAGTTCTATCATTCAGAGTTTGAAAAGGGCTTTGTTGAGTAAACAATTTTCTAAAAGAACTTTCCAGTTCCAAAAAATATCAAGCACAGCACCAGCCTTTGCATTAGAGGGAATGGCAAGGCCTCCACTGGCCAGCCCTGAAGGAAAGAACCAGTGCAAATTCCAGAGGCCAGGACTTGCTGGTGCATCTCCGCAGGGTTCCAGTTAAGAAGTGAATGTGTTATGTTCAATATTTAGAAAGTAATCCCTGAAATTATTTTGCCAAAAAGCAAAGTAATCAGAAGCTGATGGCTTGAATTATTTAAATAGTCTAATATGCAAAACAATTTTTGATATGCAGCTTTCACTGGCCAATTTAGATAATATTACACAAACATTCAACCTGAGTACTCTTTTCCTTTGTCTCCTTCTTCATTTCTTTATTGAGAAGCTGAAGGTGCTGCTCAGAGCCATACAACTCAGCGCAGCAGCCAGCTTTGCAGGAGCAATTTTGAAAAGGAAGATGGAATCTTAGAATATTTGCTTTAAATGATAGTTTAACTTACTAAATATATAATTTCAGAAAAATAAACATATCATTTAATTAGTACATAACTATCAAATGCAACATCATACCTACCTTTACAGCACAATAATCAAAAAATCCAGTTTCTGAAAAGATGGCTACTAAGATCATCTATGGGGAAAGAGAAAGAGACAAGGAGAATCTTTTAGCAGAGCACCAAATTCAAATGACGTCAGAGTGATCAGTTGTGGATGTGAGCTCCGGCCTCTCAAAGCTCCCACGTCACCAAGCCCCTCACTCCCCTGTGGAAAGACCATCATCTCCTAGTACAGTCCGTTTACCAACTTCTCGAATGGAGCCCCTTGCTAGCGGTCTTGCAACTACCATGTTTGTCCAAGGATTTGTCCCCAAGGCACATTATTATCCCATCTAATACTCAGAACAAACATCAGGTGTTACTATTACTCTGTTTCATAGGCCAGAACACCGGGGCCAGAGAGGCAAGGCAGCCTGCTTACAGTCATACAGCCAGGAGCAGGGGCGGTAGCGGGCCAGCGTGCAACCTTCTGCACCTTCCTGTCTGCCTGAGCAGCATTGAGCTCAGAAATTTCAAAATTGGCTTTAATTTTATTTCCTAAAATACTAAACTGATTTTTGTGTCCTGGTTGATCAACACACACAAATCAGAGCAGTTGTACTGAAGCGTTCCTCCCTGGGTTCTGCACGGCCCAGCGTGCCTGCTCACTTGTTTTGTTCTTCTGGTGACAGTGAGTTGGTGAAGACAACCATCCTAGATACTACAAAAAGTGATGCCCATTTACTCCTAATTCATTCCTTTTTGTCTTTTTTCATGACTGGCAACGGGATCACAACCCTCGGTGTCGCGCCCGCACCGCGCTCAACCAGTGAGCGGACCGGTCTCTATATGGGATCTGAACCCTCGGCGGGAGCGCCGCCACACTCCCAAGCGCCACACTCTGCCAAGTGCGCCACCGGGCCGGCCCGACTCCTAATTCATTCAACCACACATCTCAGCCAGCCTGCACTTTCTGGCAGCTTCTCTCTTTCGCCACATCTGATGGCCATTACCATGTGTAGAATGAGAAGATGCAGGCTTAGACACTGATTCTGTCCCTCAGGAGCAGTTCAGCCTCAAGCACAAAATTATTTAGACGTCTGTACTTCGGTTTTCTTGTCTCACCTCTGAACATTCTTTACCTTGCAAGGTTGCTATGAAAATTCAATATAATTATGTAAACTAAAGTACTTGGTAAATAGTAGGCCCAATATTGCCTTTCTAATAAATTTTACAAAACAAAAATGTCTCCAAATCAGTCTAGACTCAGTACAGATATCTACTATGTCTAGAGTGGCCATCGATGTTCATTCTGCCCCAAGAGGCCACTGTGGGGCTGCTCGTAGAAGGTGGTGCTTCCCACAGCAATGGAAGCCTCGCGGAGCATGAACATGCAGATGGGGATGGAGGCCCGCATGCTCCCACTGTCATGGGAAGCTGTTCTACCGCCCAGAAGATGCTGAGACTCAGGGACAGGGTCAGTGGCCCCATGGAACTAGGGCGGAACAGGCAGGCCCCTGGTTACACAGACTCTCTTTGCACCCCTGAGGTTCCAGAATCACAGAACCTACAAGTACCTGCTGAGTCAGTTTCAAATGAGAAAAAAGTTAAACCATTTTATGGGCTGATTTGTGCCCCCATCCCAAATTCGTATGTTGAAGTCCTAATTCCCAGTACCTCAGAATGTGATTATACTTGTAGATAAGGCTTTTAAGGAGGTAACTAAGTTAAAATGAGGTCATTAGAATGGGCCCTAATCCAATATGACTGGTGTCTTTATAAACGGAAGAAATTTGGGCACAGAGACTCATACAGAGGGAAGACCACGTGAAGACAGAGAGAAGGCACCATCGACACTCCAAGGAGAGAGGCCTCAGGAAAGACCAGCCCTGCCCACACGTGGGCTTGGACTTCTAGCCTCCAGGACTGTGAGAAAATAAATGTTTGTTGTTTAAGCCACCCAGGCTGTGGTCTCTGTTATGGCAGCCCTAGCAAACGAATATGTCACTCATTTTAAAAAGCAAAACATATAGACTTCTGGTATGCCTTCCTTTTTCCATCCAGATGCCCACACTCGATACACTTCTCAGGACCCAACACAAATATGAGCTCCTCCTTAACGCACGTTCAGAGCACCAGCCTGCCTCCCACATGCCCCGGAGAGGACAGCAGTGCTGCTCTGGTCACACTGAAGTATCAGGGCCCTGCCTGACACTTGCCAGCCTTAGGAGGGATGGAATGCTAGGGAGGAAAATGAGACATAAGAGGACAGTGGCCTGCTGTACACAGAGGGTCTTCTAGCCCAGCAATGATGAAGCCTCCCTCAGACCACTAGGCTGTTTGGGGGTCTGTTCAAAGACACATGAGCCATTCCCTCCACTGGCCAGGCCCCTGCCAACTCCACTTATCCTAGTTAAATTGGTTTATGACTCATGCCCACACTAGCCCATTTGTGTGTTTAAAGTTTCT